CGTCGGTGTTTATCCGCCTGGCGACTGGCCGTGGTATTAGCCTTACGGATGAAACCAGCTGCTTTCGTGCGGGCGGTCTGCAGCTCCGTGACAAACTGCTGTGAGCATGGTACCGGGTTGTCCACAGTCGTTGAAGAGGGTACCACGAGGTCTATCCCGTAATTCAGGAAGAAAGGTGATTGTCGAGTCGTGGCCGAAGGGGCGTTGTTGTACGCAAATTCCAGCATCGGCAGCGAATCCTCCCACTTGCGGATATCTGGGCAGTTGGTGCGAATCAGTTGCTCCATGGTCTGATTTGTCCGTTCCGTCTGTCCGTCGGTTTGCGGGTGGTATGACGACGAAAACTGCAGGCGGGTACCGTACTGTGCCCACGTCTCCTGCCAGAACTTCGACGTAAATTTCGGATCTCGATCGCTGATGATCGCCGAAGGTAACCCGTGTAGGCGTACGACGGTGGAGATGAACAGTTTAGCTGTATCTTCGGCTGTGATCGTCGTTCGGCATGGTGCGAAGTGCGCCATTTTCGTTAGGCGATCGACGACGACCAGCACCGAGTCGTTGCCACTCGCGCCAGCTGGTAGCCCCGTGACGAAATCCATCGTCACCTGTTGCCACGGTCGTTCGGGTGGCTCGAGGGGTTGCAGCAGTCCGGCTGGCCTTTGTCGCGACGACTTCATTGCTTGGCAGGTCGGGCAGGTTGACACGTAGCGCTGCACATTTGTGAGATATCATGTCCGGCCAGTAATAATTCCGCTGCAGCAGCTTCAGTGTTTTGTCGGTGCCGAAATGCCCGGAAAGGTTGGAGTTGTGATCCTCCTGCGTCAGCAGCTCCCGTAAAGGCTGGTATGCTGGTACCCAAATCCGGTTCGTACCGGCATTTAGGTAGTACTTGCCGTGCGGTGTAGCAGCCTGTTGTTGCGGGTTCCGAAAAAACCTGTCGATCTTGTAGCCGTGGGTGAATAGTCCCGTCAGCATCGGGTTGGTGTGGGCGATTAGCACCGCTGCGTTTTGCATGGATGGTCTGGTGAGGGCGTCGGCGATGTTGTTGGCGCCCTTTTTGTACGTGATGGTGTACCGAAAATTGGACTCGAGGAAGTCCAACCACCGGATTTGTCGCGGGTTGAGTGTCGGTTGCGTGCGCATGTACTGTAGCGATTTGTGGTCGGTTCGAATAGTCACATCGGCTGACGTGAGGTAGCAGCGCCAGACGCGGAATGCATGGACGATGGCCAGCATCTCTTTGTCGTGGACTGGGTAGTTGCGCTCGGGTGGCTGCATCTTGCGTGACTCGTAGGCGATGGGTTGCAGCCCTTGGCCGAAGTCCTGTAGCAGGACGGCGCCGACGGCGAAATCGCTGGCGTCCGTGACGACTTCGAACGGTCGAGATGGGTCGGCGAGGCGGAGGACAGGGGGTGACTTCAAAATGTTTTTGAGGGCGTCGAAGGCGGACTGCTCCCTCTCCCCCCACCGAAAATCACTGTCGTGATGCAGCAGGTCGGTCAGCGGCTTGGTTATCCCTGCCATATTAGGTACAAAACGACGAACGTAGTTAACAAACCCCAGAAAACTTTGTAATTTAGGGATATTAGTAGGCGGCTTCCACTTAGCGATGGCGTCCACCTTACGCGGGTCGATTTTAATCCCGTCGCCAGAAACCACATGCCCTAAAAACTCTAACTCCGGCTTCAGGAATTCGCACTTAGACCCCTTCGTAATGAGCCGATGCCCTTGTAAACGCCGGAACACCTCCTCATCCCGCAGATGGTCCTCTTTCGTTGCGCTGTACACCAGTATGTCATCCAGATACACTATGACTTTTTTGTCCAGCATGTCCCGAAAAATCCCGTTCATGGTGAGCTGGAACGTCGAGGGCGCGTTTGTCAGACCAAACGGCATCACTGTGAACTCGTAACTGCCGTAGCGTGTGCGAAAAGCGGTCTTCGGGCAGTCGTCGGCGAACACGCGAATTTGGTGGTAGCCGCCTCGCAGGTCGATTTTTGAGAAATAACCGAGCTCCGCGAAGTTGATCCAGCAGATCGTCGGTTCGCGGGATCGGGTAACGCGACTTTATCGTGACCCGATTCAACGCCCGATAATCAATGCACATTTGTAGGCCCCCGTCCTTCTTCGGCGTGAACAGTATCGGCGCTGCATACGGCGACGTGCTTGGCCGGATGAAGCCTTTGGCGAGCAGATAATCCAGCTGTGCCCGCAACTCGGCGAGCTCTGGTTGGCTGAGCCGCCACTGTGACCGTACAGTAGGTTGCGCTCCTGGCTCCAGCTGGATCCGATGATCCTCAGGTCGTTGGGGGGGCAAGCCATCCGGGAGGTCATCCGCGAAAATTTCGGGATACTTCCGAATGATGCTCGCCAATTCCTCAGGGACTGCCGCGCAGAGGGTGTCGATGTCCGCGATTTTCTCGGAAGCTGCCACCTCGTACAGGTGCACCAAGAAGGTCTGAGCTCCGCTGTTCATCGCACGCTGCATGTTGACCGCGTTGACACGTGTCGTCACCGGCTCCGGCTCCGTCCATTTCGGAAGCGTCGTCTTCCCTCCGTATCCTCGCACGACGCACGCCCCAGTCGTCCAGTCGATCGTCGGATTGAAGCGCTGCAACCAATCCCTCCCCAACAGCACATCGCAACCGTCCAACGTCGTCGCCAACATTCGCATGCCAAACCCGAATTTGTCGCCGCACTGTATCCGAATTTTTCGCGCTTCATCTCGGATGGCCAGCGGTGTCCCATCCACCAGCCTTGCATCGATCTCCGGGAGGCACCTGGTCAGCTTCACCCCTATTTTTTTGGCCGTTGCCAGGTTGACGAGACTGTGGCTCGCCCCACCGTCAACGAATATTTTTATTTTATAACCGTTAACCCTCCCCACCACCAGCACAGGGTAGTCCACGTGTTCACCCACGTTATTCGTCCGGTTCTGGTCGATAGCTCTGATCGGTACCACGACCCGGTGTGGATGGTGATTGTCGGGCGACAGGGTCTCGTCAGTAGGTGGCCCTTCTGCTACTGACTCACATCTTTTCCCGACCCTTCTCCGTCGTTCTTCTTCCCCTGCTTAAGCCTCGGGCAGTCTTTTTTCAGGTGGGCCAGCTGGTTGCATAAAAAGCACGGCCCAAGGGCTCGGCTTGGTGCGCCGTTGATCGTGGGCTGCTGAGTCGATCCACGAAATCGAGGGCCCTCCCGGGAGCTCGATCTCGCCCACTGCATCAGCGCATCCGTTGACTCGGCTTCCCGGACGGCGTCGTTGAAGCTGCGTGGCCGGGTTCGTCGGACCTCGTACTGTATCTCGTATTTCAGGCCCGCCACGTAGCGATCCAACCGCTCCGCATCGCTCATGTCGTCCACTTGGTCCGCCAAGTTGCAGAATTTGCTGGTGTAGTCTTGGACCGAAGCTAGCTGCTTCCAGGTACGCAGCTGCATGCGAGCAGAATCCGAGGCGGATATGTGCTCGAATCTGGTTCGCAAGGCGGCGCCCCACTCCTTCCATGTGCGTATCGTGGCCGTCCCGAAAATTGATGTTGCCTGATGCGTGACAGGTGTTGAAGTCCCGTCGTTCGCACGTGCTATTCCTGCCGAAGTCCCTTCGTGCTGCAGCGTTCGCCTCCACCACTCCAGCGCAGGCCCTCGCAACAGTGAAACTGCGAAATTAATGCGGGTGGCATCGTCATAAATCATGGCAGCATTAAAAAACACCTCCACGCCGAACAACCATGCAGAAACAGTGACGAACTTGTCACTTGGGTTAAACGGGGGCGGGTTTGTTGGCTTGATTTTAACAAAAGCCGTTGTTGCCATCGGGGCCGTTGGCATCGCTGCTGGCGTCGCCGTTGTTGTCGCTGCTACGTGTGTCGGTGCTGCACGCGACTGTTGCGGTGACTGTTGCTGCTGCGCCTGCCTCGCTTCATCCGCATCTATCTCGCCTTCCAACTCGTCCCAGAGCCGCTCCTCCGGTGCAGTGCTGCTACTTGCGTCGTCCACGACAGGCGACTCCTGGCGCGCTTCACCACGCGCCTGGTGTAGTTCGGCGTTTTCCTTCTGGAGACGCTCCATTTCTGCAGACATAGTCTGCATGGTGGCCTGCATCGTCCGGAACTGTTGCATGAACTCGTTGAACTCCGCCTGGTCCATGTGTCGCAGGCTTCGTCTAACGGGCAGGGGGTGGCTCGCGATTTTTCTGACTTCGGTGAAGGCGTTAATGCTATCGTAGTCGGAGTGGAATAATCAGATCTATTCCGCGGGCCGACCACCAAGTCTATCGCTCCCCTTCTACAAACTACCCCGGAAACGCGAGGGTAACCTAGGAAAGTAGGCTCTGATACCAAGTGTTATGAGTTGTGAAAGAAGAGAGTGCGCAGAACTCATGCGGAAGTGATTACAACGAGGCCTAGGCACAATATAGCAAGGCTAGCTAGGCCGAGGTCGCGGGGTCGCGAGATGGTTGGGTGCAGGTTCGGGGTTGGAAAACCCGAAGGCGACGCGGTAGTGGCTCGGAAGGCGAGGTCGGCGGACCGAGCCTGGTTTTCCGAAAGTCGGGGTTGTACGCGTACAGAGTGACCCAGTAAGGAATCGGAAAAATTCCTTACACCGCGCAACTCTGTTTGACAACAGATCGCAAGTGAAGATCTATCGCCTAAGTTCTCGTCCTGACACTCAAGCCGTTTCAGCAGCCACTCTGTTTCTTGAGACTCCGCTGCGACAGTTCTCCACTGGCGCAACATGTCTGCCGCGTAGTTCAGTCTAGGGAGAGAATGCTCCATTGACCCCGTTTGACTTGGCCAATTCGTTCGTCCTTGTGAATTCAAGATTGCAGCAATGTGTGGCGAAGTCGCAGTGTCACTGTAACGCGCACAAGAGCAGGGCAGTGCTGGTGTTTCACCAACATCCCCCATTCTCCTCACTCCTCTTCCCCTTCCCCTCTCTCCCCTTTCCCCATTCCCCTTACTAGCTGGTTACGACCATAAGAGAAAAGCTCCCCCCTCTAAATGGTCCTCCTGTGCGCGCAGCTCTCTCAGTGGGCGCCATCGCAGGGATTGTGATCGGGTGCGTGACAGGAGTTGCCCTCATTGCGGCATTGCTCTACTACCTGCTCGTTGCCTGCCACAACAAGGATGTGCGCTCGCTCTTCTGCTGCTCTCACCCACTGAAAGGTACGAGGCATCCTGTTTTCACGGGCCACTGGAAGGTACTCTCCTCGCCCTTCACTCTTCTCCAACCCCTTTTGGTCTTCTCACTTCCACCTGCTCTTCTCTGGCTTGCCCTCCCCATCCCACTCCGCCCTCTCCTTCGTGGCCCCCCTCTTCGACGCCTTTCGCCTCCGCCACCTCCCTTCTCACCCTCCCCTCTCCAACCCCCTCAACCATCAGACCCGGAAGAATCTGCAGCCATGGCAGCAGCGGGTGAGGCAGATGGTGCCGCCGGTGCTGCTGATGCTGATGCAGTAGCAGCCCCGCATGTGCCGTTATCAGCAGGGGCAGGCGGGCTGTCGCAATGCCGGCAGTACCCACTGGCAGTGCTGAAGCAGGCCACAGCCAATTGGGCGGAGGAACAGCACATTGGCAGCGGGGGGTACGCAGACGTGTACCGAGCTGTGGACCCCCCCCTCGGTGGCATGGGCGGTGAAGCGAGGCAAGGTGCTCACCAACGACTTCAAGCGCGAGGTGCGTGCGCGCTGTGCCGCATGGGAGCATGCACTGGTCTTTCTACCGCATGCATCAACTGATGGCTTAGAGGGCTACTTTAGTGGGCTGAAACAAGCTGTCAAGTGTTTTGACATAGCCCACCGAGATGTTAGTATCAGCACTGGAATTCAAAAACAGCCTCTCATTAGCTCTCCTTCCCCCACTTCCCTCCACACCTTTTACCCCATCGTTCCACCGTCTGCCATCCCCGCATCGCATGGCAGATCAACAAGATGGCGTCGAAGCACCATCCGAACCTGGTGCGGCTGCTGGGGTACTGTCTGGACATGGACACGGTGAACGAGCGCATGGAGCAGATCCTCATCTACCAGTTCATGCACCACGGCGACCTCGAGCACTGGGTCGCCACCGATGCTGCCAAGACGCTCACCCTGGCGCAGCGCATGGACGTGCTGGTGGGAGCGGCGCACGGGCTGGAGTATCTGCACAGCTTTGGCATCGTGCATCGTGACATCAAGCTCGCCAACATTCTGCTGGACGAGCACATGCACGCCAAGGTGGCGGACTTTGGCCTCGTGCGCATGGGCGAGGGCACCTCCGTGTACACCACTCGCATTCTTGGCACGCCGGGCTATGTGGACCCCGCCTACTCCCGCACTCGCAAGGCCACAACCGCCACTGATGTGTTCAGGTGCCGAACACTGCGATGCACGGATGCTGTTGTCTGTGTGGACGTGTGGAATGATTTGGTTCGGCTGGCTAATATGCTTGTTGTGTCGTTGTGATGTACCATGGCAGCTTTGGCATTGTGATTCTTGAGGTCATCACTGGGAGGCGGGCACTTGTCAACACAAGCAATGGCAACAGCACCATTAAAGAATGGGAGAGTGAGCCCTTTCGTCAATCACTTCTGTACTACTGTGGTTTCTGGTGACAGTTAGGGGCATGTGGGTTGAGCGAGCAAGACAGGTTGTGTCACCCAAATGGCACTGTGCGGTGGACATTGCAGATCCACCACACCCACTTGCATGCCTCCACCTCTTCTTCTCATTCACGTCCCCGCCGTCCCTCCTCTTCCTCCCTCCTCCCATACGCCAGGCTGAGGAGGCGCTACAGACGAATGACCTGTCACGCCTGAGGGATGTGCAACTGCACCCGCCCTTGCCTGACGACGTTCTGCTGCGAGTTGTGCGCCTGGCCATCAGCTGCACGCTCATACCCACGGCCACGCGCCCCACCATGAGCCAGGTGTGCAGCGAGCTGAGCGCCATCCGGCAGGAGTGCTTTGGCATGGAGGAGAACAGAGCTGCACACATGGTGGATGACGAGCTGCGCAGGGTGCAAGCACAAGCGTCTTTTCCGTTGGAAAAACAGCTGGAGTTTATCGAGTCGTTTGGTTCATCAAAGGCGGAATCATCCTCGCATGGCAAAATGGTGTGAATGATTCACTGGTGTTGCGAATGGTAAAATGAGAGCTGATGTGCACTTCTGCTTGCAGTAAAATGAAGAGTGCAGAAACGAATATGAAGGCGAAAAGGCACAATGACACGAAAAGGGGCGTACGGTTAACAACATCTGGACTGTCGGGGCAGAAGCACCGAACAGCAGCATGAGCAAGGATTTTGGCAGAAACAAGTTCGTAACCGTCTCGAGTCGCACGGTTAGGTTTCGTTGCAATAAGGGAATGTACTGTCAGAATAGCTAGGCAAGAATGAATGAACTAGCAGAAGTTTGGGTACAAATATGAAACCCTAGTTGGGGTTGTACCCCATATTGGCTACCCCACTACAGCCTACAAGCATAATACAGTTTAACACACCCCCATAGGCAAAGTGGGGGAGAACAAAGGGTCACAAGACCAGTCCAGCAAAGCAAAGCAAAGCCCAGGGTGGATCACAACGTCACCACACTCCGAGCACAAGTAAAGGCCACAAGGCCAGTTCACATGCAGTGCTAGATATAGTACAAGACAAGCAACACAGTGATCAAAACCTAGCAAGCAAGCAACAAGATATATATAAAGTACAGTACAAAGAATGTCAAGCAGTGAGCAAGTGAGGAAACGTGGACACAAGGCCTAAAGAAGTACAGTGCCGCTGATGATCACTAGGCGGGAGCGCCTTGGTGAAGATATCAGCAGTGTTGGCCTTCGAGTCCACGTACACAAGCCGAAGCTGACCGCGCTGCTGAAGCTCTCGAGCAAGAAAGTAGCGAAGAGCAATGTGCTTCGTCCTGTGCTCTAGTCTGTGCTCCTGACACAAGGCAAGAGCCGCCTTGTTGTCACCGTACAGAACTGGAGGAGAACTAGGCCGCTCTCCCAAGTCAGTCAGCAGGTAGGTGAGCCAGCGTAACTCCTGTGCAGCCATGGCTGTGGCGTAGATCTCAGCCTCACAACTAGAGCCGAGAACAGAGGAAGAGCGGGTGGACCGCCACGAGACAGAACCAGAGCCAAGGCTGAAGGTGTAACCCTGTGACGACCGCTGCGTAGCCAGGTCGTCCACCCAAGAAGCGTCCGAGTGACCAGTGAGGACAACTCTGTCGTGTCCTCCAAGCACCAGCCCCATGCCTGATGTACTGCACAAGTAACGCAGCACCCTCTTAGCCGCCTCCCAGTGCTCTCGCCTGTGTCTCCCAGGCGCAACGTAACGAGCAAGGATGCTAAGAGGGTACGCGAGGTCAGGTCGCGTGCAAGTCATCAGGTACATGAGGCAGCCTACAAGCTCTGGGTACGGGCCACTCGGCTCTACGGACTCGTCCGAAGGTGGAGCTGAGAGCGAGTGGCTGGTAGCCAGAGGTGTGGCCTGTGGTGAGGAGAACTGGAAGCCGAAGCGCTGAAGGACCTGCTGCACCATGTGTGACTGAGTCAGGGTGATGGTGCGGCGTGCTCTGTCTCGGGTGATCTGCAAGCCAAGGTAGCTACGCAGTTCACCCAGGTCAGTGCAGGTGTGTCTCTTCTGCAGCTCCGACTTCACACGAGCGAGTGCCTCAGTGTCAGCAGTAGCAAAGACCAAGTCGTCGACGTACACAAGAATGTAGAACGGCGGCAGCGACGTGTCTGTGCGCAGAAACAACGACGGGTCAGCAGTAGACGGCGCGAACCCAAGAGCCGCAAGTGTAGTCCTCAGTGTGTCGTGCCACTCACGTGGCGCCTGGCGGAGACCGTAGACTGGCCGGCGGAGGCTCCACTGGGTACCAGGAGGAAACGACCCAGTAAAGCCAGGTGGGCGGCGCAGCCAGATCTCCTCATGCAGGCTGCCCTGCAGGAACGCTGTGCTGAAGTCAAGAGAGTGAAGCTCGTAGTCACGCTGAGCAGCAACGTGCAGCAGAACCCGAAGAGTGGTCATCTTCGGGGTGGGGGAGAAGGTCTGGAAGAAGTCGACCCCCTGACGCTGACTGAAGCCTCTAGCAACGTAACGAGCCTTGAAGACAGGCGGAGAACCTGGCGGCCGCTTCACCCTGAAAATCCACATGCCATCGACGATGTTCGCCCCAGGAGGGGGAACCTCGTCGACGTAGGTGCCTGTGGACTTCCAGGATGCCATCTCTGCGTCCATGGCTGTCTGCCACTGAGAGGAGTAGGGACCCGAGATCGCCTCTGCATAAGTGCGCGGAGTGGGGATGTCTAGTGCATCCGGGTCTCCCTCAGGGGCAAGCAACCAGGCCACGAGATGAGGTACAGCAGCCGCAAGAGAGTCAAAGTCCTCCTGCCTATCCTCAAGGACGTCCGTGCCAAGAGCACACTCACCCCCGACGGACGGAGGACAGACAGACGCAGACTCAGGCTCAGCAACAAGGCTAGCAGCGTAGTCTAGACGACAGGCAGCAGCAAAGTCAACCAACTCAGCGACCAGAGCAGACGCAGCAGAGGACTCAAAGGTAGGGTCAGTGACAACAGTAGCTAGGAGACGCGTGACTGTAGGGTGCTCAGCGCGATACCGGTCAGACTCAGGGTCCGGAACGGCAGGCAAAGAGGACGCAGGAGGAGACGGTAGAGGGACACGCCGAGGAGCAGTAGAGGGACGCAGAGTCATGTAGTGAGTGCCTGGGACAGGAGGAGGACGCTCACGACGGACACGACTACCAGCGCGAGCAGGACGAACAGGTGACGCAGGACGAGACTCAGGCTCACGACGCTCTGTAAGACCTCCTGTGGGACCAGTGTAAGGAGAGGGAGCAGGGAGAGGCGAGGCAGGCGGTAACTGTGACTGCGGCTGGACAGGCGGAGGACACTCTACGGAGGGAGGAGGACAAGGAGGAGGAGCCTGCCCAAGAACCTGCTGAAGGAGCGGGACGAAGTACGGTCGCGGCCGCGCAGCGTCTCCAGAAGCAGAAGAGACTCCAGCGGCCGGGTCCTCAGCACCAGCAGGAGCTCCAACGGCCGGGTCCCCAGCACCAGCAGCAGCGCCACCGCTCAGGTCCTCAGCTCCAGCAGCAGCTCCACCAGGCGGGTCCGCAGCACCAGCAGCAGCGCCACCCCCAGAGTCGGCAGCTCCAACTCCGCTAGCACCGCCAGCGCCAGGGTCCCCAGCTCCAGCAGCTCCAGTCGCAGTGCTCCCAGAACAACCAGTCCCGGCAGCTCCAGTACCCCCAGTACGAGCACCCCCAGGACGAGCAGCCCCAGCACCCCCAACTCCAGCCGAGCCACTAGGACGGCGAAAGCGCCGGACGTACCAGTCACGAAGCTGCTGCGGTGTGAGAGACTGCTCAGCACCCCGAACCGGAGCACCCCCAGACGCAGTAACCCGAGGCTCCGTAGGCTCAGTAGCAGCACCCCCAGGCTCAGTACCCGCAGGCTCAGCACCCCCAGTCGCAGCACCCCCAGGCTCAGCACCCCCAGGCGGCAAACTCTCAGGCACAGTACCCTCAGCTCCAGCACCCGTAGTCCCAGCACTCCCAGGCCCCGCACCCGCAGGCTCAGCACCCCCAGGCTCAGCACCCCCAGGCTCCGTACTCTCAGGCACCGTACCCTCAGCTCCAGCACCCTCAGTCCCAGCACCTGCAGCCCCAGCACCCCCAGGCCCAGCACCCCCAGGCTCAGCACCCCCAGGCTCAGCACTCCCAGCAGCACCACCCGCAGCAGCACCTGAGTCACCTGTGAACTCGACAGGCTCAGCGACGGGAGGAGGGTCTACCTGAGAGACACCTGAAGGAGCAGGACCCTGAGGGGGAAGGGGGTCTACCGGAGGGGGACCAGGAGCAAGGAAAAGCGGCGGGGGAGGGAGGGGGGCAGTGCGGTAGGGGAAGAGACGGTAAAAAGGGACCGACTCGTCAAAGGTGACATCCTGAGAGGCGAAGACCCGGCGCGAGGTGGGGTGGTAAAACTGCCAGCTAGGCGCGTCAGGGACAAAGCCAAGGAAGACACAGGGAAGCGTGCGGGAGGAGAGCTTGTCCGCGGACGTATCGCGGACAAGGGCACGAGCACCCCACACCCGGAAGCGCGACGCATCGCCAACCTCCCCCGTCCAACGCAGTGTGGGCGAGGTCTCCGGCAAGGAGACACGGGGCCAGAGGTTGAGCTGATGCGCGGCGTACCGGACAGCAAACGGCCACAGAAAATGGGGAGCCGCCGCGTGGACCAAGGAGGTACGAGCGACCTCCATGACCAGGCCAATGCGGCGCTCAGCAACCCCATTCTGCTGTGGGGAGTCCGGAAGCGTGAAGGTCTGCTCGATGCCCTCCGCCTGACAGAAGGTCCTCAAGAGATCGGAGGAAAACTCACCACCTCTGTCAGAGTGCAGACGCAGGACAGGAAGATCCGTCCGGAAACGGCGGCGGAGCTGGAGACGAACTGTGCGGATCCAAGGGATCAGGACAGCAGGGACCTCACCCTTGGTGCGCAAGGGGAAGACCGTGGTGTAACGCGAGTAGTCGTCGACAACCAGCAAAAAGTACCGCTCACCGCCCTGGCCACGAACGCGGGCTGGGCCCCACACGTCCAGGTGGAGGGTCTGCAGAGGAGCCTCTGTCAGGGGGAACGAGGAGGAGTGAGGAGCGGCGCGCTGCCGCCCCTCGACGCAAGGAAGGCAAGGCGGCGCAGGCGAGGCAGGGAGGGGAGGGAGGGACCTGGGAAGACCAGACACAAGGTGGCGACGGTGCATGCCACGAAGGCGTGGCAAGGAGGGGTGACCCAGGCGGTGGTGCCAGAGAAGAGTCTGGTGCGACAGGGAACGACACTCACAGGCGTGGGCTACCAGACCTGACGCAGACACCTGACCGACAGCAGCGACCTGAGGAGACGCAGTGGTCAGTGTGTAGAGACTCGACCCCGGCCGACGGGTAAACGTAGCCAGGTGACGGCCGGTCCTGGAGCACGTGCAGATCGCCACACGCTGTCCGCCAGGGGTAAAGGTGTCAACCCACTGATCCTGGAGGACAGCGTTGCTCACCAGGTTCGTCGAGAACGAGGGGAGGTGGAAACCCGACAACGAGCCAGACGGAACCGCCGGACAAGGGAGGACAGTGGTGGACTGGGCAAGGACTGGGCCCCCAGAGGGGTCAGCCAAGGAGACTGGGACCGGTGCAGGAAGCGGTGTGAGCTCAGTACTGTCACGAAAGAAGCAACGGGAAGCACCTGAGTCAAGGGTGAAGGTGTGACAGGCCTCAGCCGGTGTGGTACCTGAGAGAGCAGTCTCTGTGGGTGCTGTACCTGAGAGAGCAGACTCGAAACCAGCCAGGACAGCACTGGGGGGGGCAAGTACAGGGGGCACCATACCAGAGAGAGCAGACTCACTAGTACCCAGGGCAGCGGGCTCTATACCTGGGTCAGGCGGCACACACAAGTAACAGTCTCCCTCGGCACTAACAGTCAATGCATACATGGCAGCAATAATAGCATCATAGTCAAGAGCAAAGACATCAACACCAGCCCTCATGAGCTCAGCCCAGCGGGGGCGCTCAACATCCGCGCCCATCTCCTCACGCCAAGCGTCGTCAAGGCGGGAGAAGCAGCGGTACGGGGTGTGGAACCTCCCACACGTCTGTCCCTTGCGGTCACCTGTGCGAATGACATAAGAACAGCGGCCACTGCCCCCCGACGTCCCACGCTGAGCAAGCCACTCACGAAGCTGCTGGGTCGTCTGGGGACGCTGCTGCTGCTGGGAGCTCTGGCCCGAGCCAGTGCCTCCACTCCGACCGCCGCCGCCACCACTACCACCGCTCCGACCGCCACCGCCACCACCGCCACCACCGCCACCGCCGCCACCGCCGCCGCCGCCACTACTGCCACTGCTTCCGCCGCCGCCCCCGCCTCCACCACCGACCCCACTCCCACCAGCGCTCCCGCCACCGCTCCCTCCAGCACCGCCTCCCCCCCCACCTCCCCCACCTCCTCCCCCCCCAGCGCCACCACCACCACCCTTGCCCCCCTTGCCCTTGCCGGTGCGGCGCCTCCCACCAGGAGCAGAAGCAGCGCCAACAGACTCAGCACCAAGGAAGTCAACAGCAGCAGCAGCAGCGTAGGAGGGAGCGAGGGGAGAGGGAGAACACCCCTCAAAGATGGGGGTGCGAGGAGCGCCACGAGCAGCACCAACAGCTACAATGCTCTTTTCGGCCGCGAGCAGCTGCTCCTCTAGGAGGGCGACTGTGAGCTCAGTGGGACAGCGAGCAAGGAAGTGGTCTCGAACTGAGCGGAGGGTGTCAGGGAGACGGGTGACTATGAAGTGGAGTGTCCAGTACAGTGGAGGGGGGTTCTTAGCGCAGAACTCGGTGGGAAGGGCGGCACGCAGGCGAGCATCACTAGTGCGAAGGTGGGTGATAAGATCGGCGACTGTAGTAAAGGTGGACAGATCGGGGAACAGGTACGGCAGCATGAGGCGGCTAAGCTCGGCTGTGGCAGGCGAGGAGTAGCGAGCAACGACAGCATCGTACAGGGCCTTAGCGGATTTGCAGTCGCCAAAATGCTCGAGCTCAGCTAGCGGCAGGTGACTACGAATGGCTAGGCGAGCAGCTGCGTCACGAGTCTGCCAGTGGGAACGAACACTAAGCTCGGCTGTGGCAGCAGGAGCAGCGGCAGCACCAGACGCGTAGTCATAGAGGGAGATGTGGTCCGTGCTATTGCTCATAAGATACAACTGCAGGTCGTCGAGCCAGGAAGTGAACTGCACGGGACGGCCCTCAGCATCGAAGGAAAGAACGCGAATAGAGGCCATAGCTCAGGCGTGAGGGCACAGCAGAGCAGCGGCAGCAGCAGAGGGGACGCAGCAAGCGGGCAGTGAGGCAGCGGGCGACGCTGCGAAGCAGGTAGCGGGCGGGCGGGCGGCGCTGCGAGCGGGCAGCGAAGCGGGCGGGCCGCGAAGCGGGCAGCGAGCGGGCGGGCGGGCTGCGAAGCGGGCAGCGGGGCGAGCGGGCTGCGAAGCGGGCGGGCCGCGAAGCGGGCAGCGAGCGGGCGGGCGGGCTGCGAAGTGGGCGGGCCGCGAAGCGGGCAGCGGGGCGAGCGGGCTGCGAGGCGGGCGGGCCGCGAAGCGGGCAGCGAGCGGGCGGGCGGGCTGCGAAGCGGGCGGGCCGCGAAGCGGGCAGCGAGCGAGCGGGCTGCGAAGCGGGCGGGCCGCGAAGCGGGCAGCGAGCGGGCGGGCGGGCCGCGAAGCGGGCAGCGAGCGGGCGAGCGGGCTGCGAAGCGGGCGGGCCGCGGAGCGGGCAGCGAGCGAGCGGGCTGCGAAGCGGGCGGGCCGCGAAGCGGGCAGCGGGCGGGCGGGCGGGCTGCGTGGCGGGCGGGCCGCGAAGCGGGCAGCGAGCGGGCGGGCGGGCTGCGAAGCGGGCAGCAGGACGAGCGGGCTGCGAGCGGGCGGCTCGGCGGGCGGGCGACACTGCGAGGGGCGCGCGAGGGCGCTAGTGAGGGGCGCGCGAGGGCGCTAGCAAGGGGCGCGCGAGGGCGCTAACGAGGGCGCGCGAGGGCGCTAACGAGGGTGCGCGCGAGGGCGCTAACGAGGGGCGCGCGAGGGCGCTAACGAGGGCGCACGAGGGCGCTACGAGGCTAGGGCACGGGGTAGCGTGGTAACCGCATGCGAGCGGTGGTGGGCCCTTAAAAAAAAAACGGTCGGTAGGTCCTAGGGACCTCCTGCTCTGAATACCATGTCAGAATAGCTAGGCAAGAATGAATGAACTAGCAGAAGTTTGGGTACAAATATGAAACCCTAGTTGGGGTTGTACCCCATATTGGCTACCCCACTACAGCCTACAAGAATAATACAGTTTAACATGTACTTCTTAGAGTACATGGCTAGTCTAGGTTGTTTCGAACTGCTTTGTACTACCGTATCACCCCGGATAGTAGCGCATATGCACTTATAATAAAATCAGTTTTTTTAAGGGGGGCGCTTGTAAATGAGTAACGGGCATAAGCGCATGCGCTTATGTAATAACAAATACACAAATACAAATTAAACGCACAAAATTGTACATTTCAATCTCGTAAGTTCAATCGAATCGAACTTTTACAACGTCCTGAATCAGAATCGCGCGAGGGCGACTCCCTGACTGTGCACATAGATTTGCTACGTCACTTTGCCCGCATGCCAGCTCATCCTGACTGGACGCGCGACAAGTGAAGCCTTCAAAAGTCAAACAAATTGAAAATGGGTGTTGACTCGCTTGAAATTCGAATTTCGTTACCGTTTAAACAAAATTGTAAAATAAAATTAGGTATGCGCTTATAATAAATCAGGGTTTTAAAGGGGGGGCGCTTATAATCGAGTTCCGGCCATAAGCGCATGGCTCCAGATAGAAGCGCCGGCGCCCTTAAACGGACGGCGCTTATATCCGGGGTGATATGGTATTACCAGTACCGTCATACCCCGGATATACCCCCATGGGGGGCAATAATAAAACAGGTTTTTTTTAGGGGGGTGGGCTTATAATCGAGTAAATTTATAAGCGCCGGTGTTTATAAAATGACATATGTATCCATATATATATATCCATTTTTTAACACCAAGCTGTAGATCTCGTGCTTGCCTTTTCAATCGAGTCGAAGTTTCATGGGGTCGTACCGTATGTGAAATTCTCGAGCGTGCTGGGAAATACACCCAATCTGACTCACATCCAGCTCCTGACAGCTCTTTCTGACTGGATCTGCATTTAGTGCAGGGTCCGAATGTGAAGGGAACCGAATCTGCAACACATTTGCCTGCTAAAGTAAAATTTGTTACAGCGTTTTAAAAACATTTCAAATTTTGAAATTTACGTGCGCTTATAATAAAACAATTTCTTATCAGTTAGCCATTTAAAGCCTAGATCTGTAATCATGACGACAATAGGAAGCCAACGATACACTTCTTATGATCATACAGCGAACATTGTTATCCGCGGATTATTGTCAGGCAGTTTCAAGGCGGATGCTAATCTCGATAATGCAAGGACGGACGATGCTACCAAGGTTCACGCTATTCTTAAGGAGGTTTCCTGGCACATTGGTTTTGTCAAGGCGCTGCGGAGGGTCTTTCAAGACTACATATACTCAAGCATACAGAGGTTCAAACATCAGACAACGTGGGAGCGTCCCGATTTCAGTTCGTCCTGTGCATCAGCTATCTTGCTGTTCTTTCAAGGCTGTCATCATTGCTCGATGGCTCCCCCGATGGCTAACATCTCTTCTGCTGCTGCTGCTGGTGGGATCTTGAATAAGCAGGGCTCTGAGCCGGTCACGCCGAGGACGCTTTTCAATGGCAACCAAGGCCCTTTTGTGACAGAGGCCATTAACGCGCTGTCGGTGAAGACGTCAGCACTTAAGATCAATGATCTGCCGGGGGAGGAGACAAGCAAGAAGTCATCAGTGGACGTGACTTCGGGGGTGAATCTGACATCGGCGAGTGAAGCTCAAGGATAGGGCAAAGAGGCGATCAAGGAGGCGGATGAAGAGGAGGGTTACCTCAGTGACCCCGACGAGTGTCAGGACCCGGAAGCGGTCTCCGCCATCGCGTCGCAAGCGGGGTTCGCCATCACACTGCTTATCCCGCACAAGTGGATCGAGGAAGTCTCGCATATGAGTGACACGGTTCGCGGTCTTCTCCTGCTATGGGAAGAACATTTGACGGAGAATGCTAAGAGCACGGCCAAGTGTCACAAGTTGACGCCGACGTGGCTTTCTAAGGAGCGCTTCGGCCGGGTCCAGGTGGTTTTTGTGCACGCTGCGGATGCGAACTTCATGTGGAGCAGGAAAGTGGAGCATGTGACATTGTCCAATGTGCGTCTGATTCTCGGATGGCAGCACCCGGAGAACCAGGAGTACCTGAAGGAGCGGTCGATGAAGCCGGACGCCATCGAAGTGTTGCTGAGAAATGTCCCGGCTGTCATCACGCCTGAGATGATCTGGAAGAGCCTGGTGACGGCCACTCTGCTGAAGCGCAAACGCTCGGCGTTCCTGGAGGGTTCGGCTTTTCACAGGGTGGTGGACCCGATTACGGGCTCAGACACGGATAAGATCAAGGGGTTGGTGTACCGCCACCCCGGGGATAAGTATAAGTGGTGGCATAGGGTGACAGACAAGATACATGGGACAGATCTGCTAGTCTCGTTTCCTGCACTCACCTGCTCGTTTTGCAACGGCATGCACATGTCGTGTTTCCATGATGAGTATGTGACGGAACGGCAGGACAACATTATCAAGTGGAACGTGCCGTTGGCAAGGGTGCACGAGATGAATGGTAACCATACCTGTTCGAGTTGTGCTTTTCAGGTTGAAGCAGCTGGCGGCTTTGCTCACCTCTGTACCATCTCCCCTCCGAGCAGCAGCCTCTCTGAAGCTGACTGCAGCTACAAAGGCCATTATGGAGGACCCGGCGATGGTCTTCACCTCGACCAGCGGCGCACGGGAGGAGTGGCTGTGCGTTCAGGAGGGATGCGGGAAAGCACACGGCGTCAGCTTCGCAAAGGCAGCAGAGCACGTGGCCTCTGTGATGCACTGTACCGAACGTCTCAAGGGGGGATCGGCGACGCGTCGAAGCAGGGGGAAGATGAACCTCCTGGCGGTCAAGAAGGACTTCGGGATGTGAGCCCCAGGCGGGAAGGTCCCAACTCCGGTTTATCCCCTGCAAGCATCAGAACCAGCGCTACAGAGCACGTAGAGCTAGAGAAGGGAGGAGTTTGTTGTTTGGCGTTAGTCTCAGTTGTTTGTACACAGCACAATAAAGCCCGTGGATGCGAAGGGCTCCTGTCATGGTTGATTAATGGATAAGCGCTCACTACTCACCATTTGCGGGGTCAACGTTAACGGCCTCGGTAGCAATGGCAAAAGAACCAAACATCGAGCATGGCTGAAGGAAGCGACAGATGTGGTTGTGATGTCAGACACGAGGATCAAGGAGGATCATAACTTTTGGACAGAGCTGAGACCAACTACATGTGCAACGGCGAGCGCAGAGAAAGGTGCAGGAGGAGTGGCGATTGTGGCTTTTAGGAAGCACATCCAGTTCACGGAGGTGATGGCTCACCATACGGGGAGGCTGCTAGGGGTGACGGTGGAAGGAGGAGATACAAAGTTTCGTTTGATAGCGGCTTACCTCCCGGCACAACCGGGCAAGCGGACGAAGTTCCATGCAGAGCACCTGGTCCCATTTGCGCAAGCTCAACCTGCAGGAGCGCACCTGGTGCTGGTAGGGGACCTCAACATCATTGCGGACCCGGACCTGGACAGATCATCGAACACGGGGTCCAGTAGGGAGAATCAGCGGTTGCTGGAGGCATGGTCAACCTTTGACCTCCGAGATGCCTTCCGGGAGCTTAATCCTCGGGAGAGACAGTACACGTTCAGAGCAAGGCCGTCAGACACCAGATCCAGAATTGACAGGGCGCTGGTATCAACGTCGTTCCTGGGGGAGTTGCTGGAAGCAAGCCACAAGTGGGTGCCGAAGAAGTTGTCCGATCACCAGTTTGCAATCCGGGTCAGCCTCGCTTTCACGTCATCGCACACTAGCGGACCTGGGATTTGGAGGCTGCAGGCAACACGAGTAAATCGGAGGGGAATCAGAGCGGTAATACAAAAGATTATGGGGATTCCAGACGGGCGGAGCGGACGGGCGCTAGAGCAGATTCTCCCACGTCTGAGCGCGGCCCTGCGGACACACGGAAGGGAGGAACAGAAGCGGGTCGCAGCAACCAGGCGACATCTGGAAGCAGAGATTACGAGGCTCAATCACCTGGTCATGGCGGGGCCCACGGAAGCAGCGGTTAAAGAGAGGTTGCTGACCATGGAGGCGCAGCTGGAGGGGTACCAGGAGAGCGAGAGGGAAAGGTTACAGGTATTGGCGAGGCTGGATTTGGAAATGCACGGTGAAATCCCGTCCCCGTATTTGTCGGCCAAAGTCAAGATGAGGAAAGACAAGACGATCATCAAGGAAGTGATGCACAAGGGGAAGCGGTTCTACGGTTCACAGGAGGTGCTGAAGGCGGCGGCTGATCATTTTCAGGAAGCTTTCAAGAAGCATACGGAAGCAGAGGTGGGGAAGGGAGACGCAGTAGAGGTGTCCAGGCGATTACTGGAGGAGGCGGCGGAGAGACTGTGCGCCCAATGGTCGGAGGCGGAGATAAAAGAGGCGCTAGTAGGCTTACCGAGGGGCAAGTCTCCAGGTCATGACGGCTTACCACCAGAACTTTTTAAGGCGCACTGGGACCTTCTGGGAGGGCCGCTGGTGGAGTTCGCAAGGAGATTCGAGAAAACAGGTCTTCTGGACGAGTCGATCACCACGGCGGTGACGGTCCTGCTGCATAAGAAGGGGCCGCTGGACCAGTTAGGCAACTACAGACCGATCACGTTACTGAGCACGATTTACAAAGTACTGGCGAAGTTACTGGCAAACAGACTCAAGAAAGAGCTGCACCAGATTGTATCCGAGGATCAGCATGGGTTCATACCTGGGAGGTGCCTGGCAGATGCGGTAGCGGTGGTAACAGATGCGGTGGATGCTGCAGGCAATGGAGGGGATGACTGGTTCCTCCTCATGGTGGATATTCAGAAAGCATACGACACAGTGGCAAGGCCATACCTCTTCGAGACAATGGGAAAGCTGGGGATACCAGACGAGTTCATACGGTGGACTGAGGGACTACACCACGGATCCGGGACAAGGGTGGCGATCAACGGCTGGTTAGGAGAACGGGTGGAGATGCAAAGGGGCGTGCGGCAGGGATGTCCCCTGGCTCCATACCTTTTCCTGTGCGCGCTAGAGCCGCTATGCTGCAAAATCAAAGAGAAGGGACTGGGGGTGAGCGCGGAAGGGGCGGAGGTGCTGTCGTATGTCGGGTACGCTGACGATGCAACGTTGATCCTGAAGGGAGTGGAACAGCTGAAAGAAGCAGAGAAGATTTTGGAGCAGTTCGGGGAGCTGTCAGGCCTGAAGACCAACAAAGATAAATCGGTGGTCATGCCGCTGGGGAGGAATAAGGGGAAAAGGGATGCACAAGGGGTGTATTTCAAGTGGGCGGAAGATGGTGTGCCGGAACGCCTGCTAGGAATATGGATCACGCCAGAAGGGGACCCCGGGCGATCCTGGGAAAAGGCATGGGAGAGGGGGAAGGCAGAGCTCGTCAAGTGGGAGAGCCATCATCTGCTAACAGCCGCGCGTGTGACGGTAATCAACGCCTACATCATGCCGATCTTCATATTCCAAGCGCAAATTTACCCGCCGCCGGAGGAGCTATGGAAACGCATCCGAAAGACGTGCGACAACTACGTCTCCAGCGGACAGGCCACGTCGGAGAAGCTGTTCGTGCTATGGTGCGGGGAGCTTGCGCGCCTGCCAAAGAAGGATGGGGGCCTGGGGCTGGTAGACCCCAAGGCAAGGATTGACAGTATGGCGATCAGAATGGTCGGGAAGCTGGTCTTGGAGCAGAATGCTACGAAGCGATGGCTAGCGGAGAAGGCAGCAGCGTTGTCCCAAGGGGCAGCGACGCTCCTGGCGGACCCGTCAGCACTGAAGCACTGGCACGGTGGAAGCAAATGTTGGAAAGCGGCGGTGGAGGCGTTCTGGGAGTCCCCGTATGCGGAGCTATCGGAGCCGAAAACTGGCTGGGAGGTGGAGCAGGAGAAAGTGTGTGTCAACTGCAAGGTCATGTTCAGAGGGAAAAGAACGTATGGGAACCAGCAAGGAACCGAGGGGATAAGACAGATAAGCTTTGGGGACCTGGTGGAGGTAGGGTCGAGGGGCGAACGCACAGTAAAAAGCAAGGAGAGCTTGAGACTGGAATTGGGTGGAGTGGCCGCAGCCAGGTGGGCGCTCATGGCTTACGCCGCGATATCAAAAGAGTAAAAGACAATGCTTACGGCGGGTAGGCCGGCAGGGATGGTAGCAACAACGGCGGGGAGGTAGTAAGGACGCACCTCCCGCAGACGAACAAGCACCTCTACTGGAAGGTGAAGGGAGTTCAAGACAGCGGGCACGTAGCGCTATCAAGCCTGCGGTGTGCAGAAGGCGGGAGGTTGGAGGAACGAGTGAGGTCGATCAGCGCGGTCTTCAGGGCCTGGAAAGTGGAACCGGTTGCCGTCAGGGGAGGGAGAGTACTGGGAGCGCTGGGGGCGCCGACGACGAGGCTACGGCAGTTGGATTTACTAAACGACAAGGGACAGGCGGCCAGAGTGAAAGATATCCGGCGGAAGCTGATAGGCTGCACAACGGCATCGAAGGAGAGGAACGAGTGGGAAGAGAGATGGGGGAAGAAGATTGACTAGAAAAAGGTGGAAAGCAGAAGGGATTCTCTGGCGGTGCCCATCAGAGCACGGGACGTCCTGCTGAGAATACATAACCTGAACCTGCAGGTGGGGGGCAGATTGAAGTTCCTGGGGGAGAGGGCGCGATGCTCGCACAGCGGGGAGTATGAAACCCTAGAACATTGTGTTTTCAGCTGACCGCTGGTTCAACCAGTCATCGGTGCGCTGCTTCGGTCGCTGCAGATGATGGGGCAGGCGAACGACCCGAGGTTGTTAGGCGACCTGCTTTTCGAGGAAGGGAGCACGAAGTCAGGTTTCCCAGCAGCGACACTGGTGGCAACAACCTTCAAGCAGATATGGTTGGCAACATGCAACTTCCAACTCAATAGTGAGTACCCCACTGCAGGCTACACAAACAACATATTCTGACACACCCCCATAGCCAAAGTGAGGTGTAATCAGCACAATGAGCAGTCATAGCAATAGTTCATAAATATGAGCAAAGCTAGTGGTAGTCACAGAGGGCAAGTGAGGAGGAGGAGGGACTGTGAGAGGAGAGAAGATGGGAGGCGACGACTAAAGCTGCAGACACACGGGCAACAGAAGCGGCTGACACAGTGGCGGCTGACACAGTGGCTACCGAGACAGAGCGCCCCGGAATACTGGAGTAACTGGCTCTGCGGCTACGACGAGCGGCAGAAGCAACGGACCCACGGGCGACTGGTGCAGCAGGCTCTCAGTGGCTACCGAGACAGTGCGCCCCGGAATACAGGAGTAACAGGCTCTGCGGCTGCGACGAGCGGCAGGAGCAACGGACCCACGGGCAACAGGTGCAGCAGGCTCTCTGAGCTACCAGGACAGTGCGCCCCGGACTACAGGTGCTGCGGACGACAAGACAGCAGCCTCCCCTCAACCTCCCCCAACAGTCCCACACCCCTCTCACACACCCACTGCTTCACCCCTAGCTCCACTCCCACATCACCCCCCTAGTGCCACTCCCCACGACTCCCACACCTCCACCCCCCTCAGCGGCAGCTGCAGCAGTGGGAGACGAAAAAGGAGGAGGGGAGAACCCACACCGCTCACCCCCATGCTCGCCACCCCACACCCCCACCACCGCGGAACGCACGGCGGATTGGGAGCAATGGGCAGCACGGGGGGGGGGGGGGGGGGGGGGGGGGGAGAGACGGGACGGGCTGCAGGGACGGGCCGCAGGCTGCTGCAGGTGCGGGCTGCTCCAGGGGCGGCTGCTGCAGGTGCGGGCTGCTCCAGGGACGGCTGCTGTAGGTGCGGGCTGCTCCAGGGGCTGCTCCAGGGGCGGCTCCAGGGGCGGCCGCTGCAGGTGAAGGTAGGAAGAGGGGGGGAGGGGAAAACACACGGCCCCCAGGGCGCCCCGAGGGGCGACGAGAAGGGAGCCGCGCGGCCCCCCCCGGGGTGCCGCGACGGGCACCAGGGAGGGCGCCGCGACGGGCCCCCAGAAACGCCTCGACGGGCGACAGGGAGGGCGCCGCGCGGGCCCCCCGAAGTCGCCTCGACGGGCGACGGGGAGGGCGTCGCGCGGGCCCCCCGAAGTCGCCTCGATGGGCGACAGGGAGGGCCTCGCACGGCCCCCGAAGTCGCCTCGACGGGCGACGGGAGGGGAGGCCGCGCGGGTCCCCGAGAGCGCCTCGACGGGCGCTTCGACGAGAGGGGACCGCGGAGGCCCCCGCAAGGGCACCACAACGGGCGCCACGGAAGGGAAAACCGCCAGGCGCCCCGAGCGAGTGAAGGTGATGGTGCGCCGTGCTTTGTCCCGGGTGATCCGCAAGCCAAGATAGCTTGTCAGTTCACCCAGGTCTGTGCACGTGTGTCTCTTCTGCAGCTCCGACTTCACGTGGGAGAGTGCCACAGAGTTAGCAGTGGCAAAGACCAAGTCGTCGACGTACACAAGGATGTAGAACGGCGGCAGCAAGGTGTCGGTGCGTAGAAACAGCGACGGGTCAGCAGTAGAAGGAGCGAACCCAAGAGCCGCAAGTGTCGTCCTCAGTGTGTCGTGCCACTCACGTGGCGCCTGGCGGAGACCGTAGACCGGCCGCCGGAGGCTCCACTGGGTACCAGGAGGAAACGACCCAGTGAAGCCAGGAGGGCGGCGCAGCCAGATCTCCTCGTGCAGGCTGCCCTGCAAGAAAGCAGTGCTGAAGTCAAGTGAGTGAAGCTCATAGTCGCGCTGAGCGGCTATGTGCAGCAGCACCCGAAGAGTGGTCATCTTCGGGGTGGGGGAGAAGGTCTGGAAGAAGTCTACTCCCTCTCGCTGACTGAAGCCTCGAGCAACGTAACGCGCCTTGAAGACAGGAGGAGAACCCGTCGGCCGATTCCCTCTGAAAATCCACATGCCACTGACGATGTTCGCCCCAGGTGGGGGAACCTCGTCGACGTAGGTGCCTGTGGACTTCCAGGAAGCCATCTCTGCGTCTATGGCTGTCTGCCACTGAGAGGAGTACTCACCCGCGATCGCCTCAGCGTAAGAGCGCGGGGTCGGGATGTCTGGTGCATCCGGGTCTCCCTCAGGGGCAACTAGCATGGACACGAGATGGGGCAAAGCAGCAGCAAAGCACTGGAACTCCTCCTGCCTGTCCTCAAGGACGTCCGTGCCAAGAGCACACTCACCCCCGACAGACGGAGGACAGACAGACTCAGACTCAGCAACAAGGCTAGCGGCGTAGTCTAGACGACACCTGGCAGCAAAGTCAACCAACTCAGCGATCAGAGCAGACGCAGCAGTGTCAAACATTATATGTTTATATGATTGTAGGCTGTAGTGGGTTACACCTTAGGGGGTACACTAGATTAGGGTTTCCTACTTGTATCCAACTTTGTGCTAGTACAGTCATTCCAGTCCGTTGATTCTGACATGGTTTCAGAGCAGGTCCTTCGCTAGGACCGTTCTTAGGGCCCACCGCTACCTACCTACCGTGCGCCCTCGTGCGCCTACGCGCCCTAGTGCGCCTCCTACCTACCGCGCGCGCGCAGCCCGCCAGCCACTCGCGCGCGGCTCGCTTTATTTTTACCGCGCGCGAACCGCTAGCCGCCCGCGCGCGGCCAATTTCTTGAGCGCGCGACCAGCTAGCCGCCTGCGCGCCGCTCGCACCGCTAAAGCGCAGCCCGCCGCGGCCCCGCCGGCCCGCACATTGCCGCCCGCGCGTAACTGCCTGTGCGCCGCTGCAGCTGCCGCCCGCTCGTCGCCCGCTGCAGCTGCCGCTACCACGGGCCCGCCGCTGCAGCTACCGCCTGCGCGTCGCCCGCAGCCGCTCCCGCTCGTGCGCCGCTGCCGCTGCCACCCGTGCGCTACTGTCGCGCCTGCTGCCACTGCTGCCCGTGCGCCTCTACTGCGCCTGCTACCGCTGCCGCTGCTGCACTCGCTCCCGCTGCAGCCGCCGCTACTGCGCCCGCTGCCGCTGCCGCCCGTGCGCCTCAGCTGCTGCCGCCCGTGTGCTGCCGCTGCCGCTGCCGCCCGTGCGCCTACGCCGCTGCCGCTCGTGCGCCGCCGCTGCTGCCGCCCGTGCACTACCCCTCCTTCGCCGCTGCTGCCGGCCTGTCGACCCTGCCGCTACCGCCCGTGCACTTTTTTTTTTTAGTGGCCCCGCCGGCCCCGTTGACACCGCCCACAGCTTCCCTGCGGCCTCATTCCTACTGTTTCTACCGCTACTGCTACTGCCGCTATGGCTACTCCTACTGTACTCGCTTTCGATGCTGAGGGCCGTCCAGTGAAGTTCGAAACCTGGCTCGATGACCTCCACCTCTTCCTACAGCTCACTGCTAAGGAGGACATTTCACTGTACGATCACGCCCTAGGCAACGCTACTGCCCCTCCTACCACTGCTGACAGCACTCAGCGCTCACAGTGGCAGACTCGTGACGCCCACGCTCGCTTCGCTATTCGTAACTCCCTACCGATCGACGAACGCGAGCACTTTGGCCAGCACAAAACTGCTAAGGACCTATACACTGCTGTAGTCGCTCGCTACTCCTCACCCGCTTCTGCCACACTAGGCCGCCTCACCCTCCCCTACCTGTTCCCCGACCTGGCCTCCTTTCAGACAGTTGCTGACCTCATCACCCACCTTAAGACTAGTGAGGCCCGCTTTCGCGCTGCTATGCCTGACGAGTTCCTTACTAGCAACCCCCCCCCCGCTCTGGATCACTCTCTACCACATAGTCACCCGCCTCCCCGACTCCCTGCGCACAGTCAGGGACCACTTCCTCTCTCGCTCCCCCACTGAACTCACCATTGCCCTCCTCGAGAAGGAACTCCTTGCAGCTGAGGCGAGCATCGTCGCTGTAGGCACCTCTCGTGGCGACCCCCGCACCCCGTTCTTTGAGGGGTGTTCCCCTTCCCCTCTCCTCCCCTCTGTCGCCTCTGCTGCTGCTGTCGACCTCCTTGGTGCTGAGAAGGTCGGGACCGCGTCTGCTTCGAGCGGGCGCCGCAAGAGCAAAGGGGGCAAGGGTGGAGGTGGCGGCGGAGGAGGTGGGGGTGGAGGCGGTGGGAGTGGAGGAGCGGCTGGGGAGGCTAGTGGCGGCAGTGGGGGTGGTGACAGCAGCGGCGGGAGTGGCGGCAGGGGTGGA